GTCGGCGATGACACTGGGGGCGAGCCCGACCGGGCCCCCAGGGGCCCCGCGCGGCATCGGGGCCAGATCCAGATCGCCCCGAGTCCGAAAAGATATAGATCCACCGTCTGTCTGCGCGCGCGCATGGGGAAATCCCGCGGGGCGTTGCGTGCTGGAGGGGTTGGCGCCCGCCTTCTCCGATGGATCGCGCACGCGCATTCGCGCGGCGATTTCGACGGGCGCGCTCGGCAGGGCGTGCGCCCCAAGGGAGTTCTTCCCCGAACGTTTCGCTCCAATCGCGCCGTGGCGGTGGATTTGTTTCGAGTCCGTTTTCGCGCGGGCGCGAGCCTGAACGCGGTGGGCCGCGGGTGCAACCTGCAGGTCGCTGCGAGAGTAGAAGACGGGCGAGTCTCCACGGCGCAGGGTGCCTTTGTTCGGGCTTGGGTCCAGCTGTCCGGCTGCCCCCATCTGCTGATCTCAGACGGCGTGCCCGAGTTCGAGGAGAGATGCGCTCGAGGAATCTCGATGGTTGGAGCGAAGCATTGCGCCGCCAACGTGGATGCGCCCCGGCGGCGGATGGTGCGAGCGGCGCGGGGGGCGGATTCAGGAACGCATCCGCGCTGAGATCGACGATGGCTCGGACATGCCGCAATGATCAGAAGAGTTGGAAACGTTGGTGATCGAGCTCGTCGGACATAGGAACCGCTTCTGGCGCAGATGGGGCGTCTCCCCGATGCAGCTGGCGTCTGGCGGGGGCCCCCGGACTCCTCGCGAGGAGTTGAGAAACGACCACCTCGGGACCCCTGGCTGGCGGGCCGCTGTTAGATCGTCTTCGGAGCACGACCCGGCTGGGAGCTGAATTTGCCAGGGCTCTGGGGGCCCAGGACGGCGCGCGAGCGCTGGCCCTAGATGTGGTGTGACGGGGCCAGATCCAGCGCGCGAGCAGGGCGAATATTGCCCCGTTCGCAAGTTTGCGCCAGGTCAGCGGGTGTTCGCGCGGCTTTCTCCAGGACCCCCCCCCGTGACTCTCCAGGGATCAGGCGAGGGGCTCGGCGCGGCCCGGGGATGGTCGCGTTGCGCGGGCAGGGAAACGCGGGGGCTGCGATGCGCGCGCGTCTGGGGAAGCGTTCCCCCGCCCAGGTGCGACCCGCCAATCCGGGCGAGGAGCTCGGGGTGCGATTGAGCGAGGGCCCGCGCAGTGGCAGGAGTTGCAGCGACAGAATGGCCCCGAGCGAGTGGCGGTGGGCGCCCAGAGAGGGGGGCCCGACAGAAGAAGCTCGGCGGCAACCTCTTCCGTCTCCGACCCCGAATTCCAGATCGGGCGAGGCCCGGCCGGGCCCAGAGGACGTCGGCGGCGCCCGGTGCCCAGCCAGCGCCTGGGCCCCGGAGGGCACCGAGTCCTGGGCCCACGCGGCTGCCTTCCATCGCGGAGGACTACGAGGCCCCGCCTCTCTCTCTCTCTATCCTTTTTCTTTCTCTCTCTCTCTCTCTCTCTCTCTCTCTCTCTCTCTCTCTCTCTCTCTTTTTTCTCCCTCTCTCTCTCTCGCTCTCTCTCTCTCTCTCTCACTCTCTCTCTTTCTCTCTCTGACCGAGTGGAGACCAGATTCCCTTCATCCCCATTTGGGCCCTTGCCCCTCTCCCCCTTCCTCCTGCTCCTCCTCCTAGCTCATCCTCCACCCTCAGCGTCGCCGGAGGGGTCGAGGATCCCGTCAGACTGGGCAACGGAGGCTCGGCAGGCGCCCCGGAGGTGACGCTCCAGTTGCTCTGGCGGGTCGCCGAGATAGAGCAGCGACAAGGGCCCGCCCGGCCCCCCGCCACAAGGGCCCGAGGAGCAGGCAGCAGCTGTTCGACCGGGCTGACGGGTTTCTGGGTGCGAGCGGACCCCCAGGGAGGCGTCAGGGTTGTCAGAGTCCGACAGACGGCCTGAGTGAGTCGTCCGTTCCCCCCACACCCCCGCCCGCCGAGCGTTTCGCCGTGGGTCGAGGCTCTGAAGTGAGCGAGAGTCGCCGTTCTCAGGAGGAACGCGCCAAGTTTGACGCATCGGACCTCGAGGAATGGAAGTCGATCTTGGGTTCCAAGGCCGCGAAGACCCCTCCCCCCGCGAAAGGAGTCGGAAGCTGCGCGGAGGGGCGCGCCCGAGCGGGTCATCATTTCTCGGACGGTGCGTCGGTGGAAGCCCGCGGAAGGTACTTTTGTTTCTCCCGCGGCCAAGTCTCGACGGCGCGCGCGGACATCAAGGCCCCGACGCCGGGGCCCTGAAGGTCTACTCTCCAGCCCCCATAGACGAGTTCGACCACGATGTTCCCGCGGCTCATTGCAACCTAAGGATGTGGCGGATGTGAAGAAAAGCCGTCGATCCGTCAGTCAGCGCGTCTCGAGCTGGGGGAGATTTGTTCGTGGAGCCTTGCGACGGGCGCCCCACCCCCAGGGGTGTCTGACGCAGTTCCTCGTCAACTCGCGAGGGTTAGGTGGCGCCCCCCTCGCGTGGCGCAGGACTGCAGTCGATTGGTTTTCGGACATTGGTTTTGCGAAATCTCCCGAGGAGCCGCGCTGGCACTTTCCCTGTGGGCCCAGCAGGGAGATCAGGGGCGCTGTTCTTCTGGGGGTTGATGATTTCTTCTTCAAGCCCAGGGGGGGCTGAGCGAGTCTGGCTTGGAGAGACGCTCGAGGGCATATCCAAGTTTGGAAAATTCTGCGACTGCCGCGCGGGCCCCGTGGACCATGCCGGCCCGAGACTCACCTTCTCAGATGCTAAGGCTGCAGTGAGCATGGAGAAGTGCATCCTCGAGGAGGTCTCCCTTTTGAAGGTGGAGTCTGGATGGAGGGCCACCGACAACAACCCTCGCTTTCGGGAGGAGCTCGAGGATCTTCACTCGCTCAGCCACAAGCTTCACTTGGCGGTTCCCGAGCGTCGTCCGGAGGCTTCGGGGGCGGCGACTATTTTGGCGCCCAGGCTGGTGGCGTCCACCATGTGGGATGCGATGTGTGCCAACAACTTGGCGCGGCATTTCCGAACGACCGCGCCCTGGGGAATCGAGGCGCGGCTCCTCGACCCATGGCCATTGTGACTTACTCGGGAGCGGGGGGCGTTGGCGCCAGTGCCCGGATAATTCGATGACGTCAACGGTTTGCCCGGGGACCCGATTCAGGGGGCCTGGGTGGTTTTCGTCGCGGGCGCGGATCTGTCTTAAAATAAATATGTTCTGGTGTCCATCCTCGGGTGGCGGAGTAGCAAATCGAGAATGAAGGTCGCATCTACCCTTGCGGGGGAAACTCCATCCCTCTTTTTTTTTTCTCTCTCTCTCTCTCTCTCTTTCTCTCTCTCGCTGTCTCTCCCTCTCTCTCTCTCTCTCTTTTTTCTCTCTCTCTCTCTCTCTCTCTCTTTTTTTTTTTTTTTTTTTTTTTTCTCTCTCTCTCTCTCTCTCTCTATCTCTCTCTCTCTCTCTCTCTCTCTCTCTCTTTTTCTCTCCGCAGCAGTCGCCGAAGTCGGGTGCGCTCAGGTGCTAGTTCGCGTCGTGAGGTTCCACGATGTGGATGCAGCCGGCTGCGTGACCCAAAAAACACCCGGTCTTTTTACTGTGGAGCTGCGCTCTCGGTGTGAACTCGGAAGCGGACGAGAGACCCAAATACATGTTGTGGACGCCAGGTCAGTTTCTGACAGGATGATGAAGGAGCGAAGCGCGTCGTCCAAGGACAGGCGTACTGCGCTGGAGTTGGCGTAAATTTTTGAGAGTTGGGTTCAGGGGAAGGGTCTGACCCGTTGACTTCCTCATTCTACGATGCTGGTGGATGCCCTGACCAAGGATGACGTAGATAAGTTCACCGCAGCCCTCTCCCTAGGGTCATGGCCCAGGGTCGCCTAGTGTTGGTGGATGAGCTAGTCGAACTTCTTATACCTAACGGAAGACTCCGGCGCGCAAGGATCGATCGCGCGCCGCTTCCGAGGATGCTGGGATTCAACTGTGTCTTGACGAGGGATTCCTCGAGTCCGGACCATCTTCTAGGGTCAGTGCTATGCCTTGGTTCCTTTTTTCTCTCTCCTTTTCTCTCTCCCTCTCTCTTTGTTTGTTTTGTCTCTCTCTCTCTCTCTTTCTCTTTGTTTTTCTCCCGCATGTGCAGGGCGATCGTGCGTGACCGGAATTGCGTGCTGTCTCCTGACTCCCTCTAGAGAGCCAGACGTAGTATCATTTTCGACGAGTGTAAAACCCCATTTCGTTTAGTGCGTTTCAGGTGTCTCATTTGGATGTAGGTTGACATTGTTTCTGGTGTTGCGGGTGAAACTGTGTGCACGGTCGGGGAGCGCAGAGAGATGTGAGTGTGATCGCTGTCGCTCGATATGTAAAAGCAATCATTGCTGTTGGTCTTGCCAACACACAAAACTTTCGCGAGACCAGCAAGAACCTCTCCAAGGAGGAGCCTCCGCTGAAAATGCCGAAATAGTGATTGTGGGGACGAATTCGCAGGGTTGGGCGACAAGGACGATGAAGAGGGATGATGACGGCAGGATGACTAATGTCATCAAGGACCAACGTGCTGGCGCGAAGCGCCACTACAGCTTTGTACCTATATCTATATATATACACATACATTTAGGGAAACGTATACGTATACATATATATATATATATGTGTATATATATATATACAAAGGTGGCCATCATGTCGCTTGCGTGTCATTTGTGTTTGATTCTATGTCCCTTTTTTCTTTTTACGTATACGTATGTATCCCTCTTAGTTGTAAGCCATAGTTATTCATATGTTTTTGTTCCTTGCTTGTTGTTTTTGTGTCTCTCTCTCTCTCTTTCTGCCTCTATGTTTACCTTTCCCTATTTCTCTCCCCGTGCCCTCCCGCTACCCGTCCTTCTCCATCACGTCCCCCGCCTCTTCCCTCCTCTTTTCCCTCTCCATTCCCGGTCTTGCCCTGCTTTCTTTTTGGTCTTTCTTCTCATTCCCTCCTTTTCCTTCCTCCTCCAGTCGCTCTCGACGTCTCCCAGCGCTCGTTGGCCGCTGGGGCCTGGGAAGGTCAATGCGAAGCACGAGATCGTGCTCAAGAGGATCGTGGAGGAGTTGTCAGTGGAGCTGCGCTGAATGCGGGCATCCGGCACGCAGCACCACTGTCGCACCCAGCGGGGTTGCATTTTCAGGCGCTGCAGAAATTCACATGCTGGGTCTAATATGTATATGCACACATATATATATATATATATATATATATATGTGTGTGTGCGTTAATACATAAACAAATAAATAAATAAATAAACAAATAAATACCGCCCCCCTGGTCCTGGGTGCCACACCTCCCCGCCACATCTCGGGGACGCTCCTGGTACTGCTCCCCCGGGCGTTCCAGGGAGCTCCCACAGCGTTCCAGGAGGGCCCAAGACGACTCCCAGGAGCGCCCAGAATGCGAAAGGATGGTCCAAGACGCTCCCAAGCAGCCCAAGTCAGCCTTCCGACGGCTCTCGAGGCTCCCAGGTAACCTCCAAGAGACCCCAAGAGAGGTCCGAGAGGCGTCCCTGGACGGCCCGAAGGGGCCCAACTCGTAGATTTTCATAGGGTGTTTCAATGTTTTTGGCTTCTCGCGTTTTCGAGCTTCCTACGGTCCAAGAGCGCCGAAGAGGCTCCCAAGACCGCCCCAAGACCACCCAAGAGACCCTCAGGACGGCCCCAAGACGGGCCAAGAAGGCTTCAAGACTGTCGAAGAGTCGCCCAGGACAGCCCCAGACCACCCCAAAACAGGCCCAAGATGGGCCCAAGAGCGGGAGCAGGAGGCTTCCAGAGACCTCCGGGACGCCTCCGGGACCCCTCAGAGGCCCCCAACACACCCCCGATCCCTGAGATGCCTCAAAAAGACCCCGACGAGGCTCCAAGAACAGCCCAAGAGAGCTGCGAGAGCCGTCCCGAGAGAGCCCAAAGAGGGTAAAATCGTTGATTTCCAATGTTTTTTGTAATGTTTTTCGCCTTCTCACGTTTTCCCGCTTCCAACCCTCGGAGATCGAGGATTTTGAAGGACAAAAAGGGATTCCCAGAATTCCTTTCTTTTTCAAAGTGGGACTCCTACTCGGGGGTCCTACACATCCCCTGACATCTGGCCGGTACCGCGCCGCCCGGCTTCCCGGGGGGAGACCCCAAGACGCCGAAGGACAGCCCATGACGACCCTAAGGAGCCCCCAGCACGTAAAGAACGTCCCAACACGCTCCCGCGCAGCCCGAGACACCCGACGGCTTTCCAGGCCTCCAGGAGGCCTCCAGAAACCCCAGGGGGTCCGGAAGATCCCACACCCCTGAGGGGCCCGGCTAACAAAACCCGCGAGGCACAAACAAGACACAGCGCCGAACAGCGCCGAGGAACTGGAAAACATTGGAACCCCACATATTTTTTTCTCCAAATTTGGCCCCCTGTCGATTGTTGCACAACAGACCACAATTCAGACCCCCCTCACCTTCCAAAAAAGAATCCAGGAAGCCTTTGAGGGCCCCAAATCGTTGAATATCTAAAGGAAATTAATGATTTCTGCGTTTCCGCATTTCCCCTTCCATGCGATTCCGAGGCTTGCGCAGGGCCTCCAAGGGAGTCCCTGGACGTAAGCAGCGACCAAAATGACATTACATGAGTTACCGTATCAAGCCAAACTAGAACGTAAGAGCGCGCGAAGCGCGCGATGATTCTAGTATATATATATATATATATATATATATATATATATATGTGTGTGTGTTCGGTAGTGGTGTGTTGCTTCGAGAGCAGGTGGACCCCCCCCAGGAACGCTTGGGACCCCGAGGTTTCAGTACATCTGTGTTGTGTTCGGTAATATCCGTATACGTTCGGATGTACGTCGTGCATGCTTCGAACACGATTGACTGCTGACACTTTCCTTTCAAACCTGGTAGCACGCGTGTCTCAATCAGCCTATCCAGACACTTGGGTCGCGCCCCTTTGAGCGGAGGTGCCTCTCAGTTTCGTTTTTTGGGTTTCACTCGAGGTCTGATTCGGTTTTGTGTGGTCTGGCCTTTTACCGTCTGGTCTGGTCTGTTCTGGTTGCGAATGGGGTCGACAGCGACGATGAGGAGGCTGAAGATCAGGTTGAGGAGGAAGAGACGCAGGAGAGACGCAGGAGGGGATAGGGAATGAGAAAGGGCAGGATAATGCACTGCACGCGCAGGACGAAGAAGAGCAGTGTTGTTGCGACTGCGTCGGAAGAGAGCTCCTGCCCGCAGGCAAGAGAAGCAGCATGGTCCTGCAAGAAGGGTAGCGGGCACGGATCAGCTGTCTAACGAGTGAGCACCCAGAACAAACCTTTGCACTTGGCACGAGGCCTGACTACAGCCCTACCCTTGTTCGGATGCAACTCCTGGGAGGTTAAATTCTGACTTTGCCCTGGTCCGAAATCCGGCTTGACCCGGCTTAATCCCGCCTAACCCGGGTGAATCCCGCTGAATCCGGCTTGAATCCGAGGCCCACTCCGGCATAACAGCCACCCGATGGGGCTTAATCCTCTTTAACCTCTCCGACGAAAACCTCACAGTAGTTGCCTCCTGACCTTAAGTCGGGCCTGTCCCCTGACAGGGGGATTTTCGACGAAAATTCCAAAATAGTCCACAAATAGTCCCCGGACTATTTGTGGACTTTTTTTTATTATTATTATTTTGGGGGTATTTTTAATTATTCGTCGGGGACAGGCATGTGGTGACCTGGGCTCGGCTTGTGGAAGATTTTGAGAGATTTGAAAATTCGTTTTGAGGATCAGTATGTTTCGCACCTGTAGTGGGTTATGCCGCGTTTGCCTGTCAAGTTCTCAGGTCTGCAGCTGCAGTATAACTATCGAACCACTTCGGGGAACCGACTTCGTATAAAGCACAACAAGTACATGTTGCGGGTTTTCCAGCTGAGTTTCGAGGAAGCTTTCTCCTCACCGACTTCAGCCTGACCCTTGGAGCGGTACCCTGCTGCTCCTCGTGGTGGGGCTCCGCGCCCCGGAGTGCTCCTCGGACGGCCCTCCTCTGTGCACTTGTAGGTATCGTGCGTGCACGTCTCCGCAGTGTGAAGAACAGCGCTCCTCGATGGTCCTCGCCCCCCCCCCCAAAAAAAATGCACATGTCCGAGCGATGCCAAGACGAATGCTGGAGAATGCTTCGACCCACGGCTGCCCCTCGCGGTGGGGCTCCGCGCCCCGGAGCGCCCCTCGCCTCGGAGCAGCCTCCCCGCGGGCCTCGAGTCCCCGGGCCCGCGGCGCAGGGCGGGCACTCTCGACGCGCACTCCGGTGGCCACGTCTCGGCCCTCCTCCTCCCTCCTCCGTCCTCCTCCTCCCTCCTCCTCCCTCCTCCTCCTCCCTCCTCCCTCCTCCTCCTCCTCCTCCCTCCTCCTCCTCCTCCCTCCTCCCCCCCCTCCTCCTCCGTCCTTCTCCGTCCTCCCTCCTTCGTCCTCCTCCTCCCTCCTCCTCCTTCCTCCCTTCTCCTTCTCCTCCCTCCTCCTCCTCCTCCTCACTCCTCCTCCTCCTCCTCCCTCCTCCTCCGCCTCCCTCCTCCTCCTCCGTCCTCCCTCCTGCTCCTCCTCCTCCCTCCTCCTGCTCCTCCTCCGCCCTCTTCCTCTTCCTCCTCTTCCTCCCTCCTTCTCCTCCTCCTCCCTCCCCCTCATCCCTCCTCCTCCTCCTCCTCCGCCCTCTTCCTCTCCTCCTCCTCCTCCTCCTCCTCCTCCTCCTCCTCCTCCTCCTTCCTCCTCCTCCTCCTCCTCCTCCTCCTCCTCCTCCTCCTCCTCCTGCCTCCCTCCTCCTCCTCCGTCCTCCTCCTCTTCCTCCTCCTCCTCCTCCTGCTCCTCCTCCGCCCTCCTCTCTTCCTCTTCCTCCCTCCTTCTCTCCTCCTCCCTCCCCCTCATCCCTCCTCCTCCTCCTCCTCCGCCCTCTTCCTCTTCTCCTCCTCCTCCTCCTCCTCCTCCTCCTCCTCCTCCTCCTCCTCCTCCCCCTCCTCCTCCTCCGTCCTCCTCCTTCCTCCTCCTGCACGCGGCGTGACGCTGCACCTACCACAGGCCGGTCCTGGGCGACCTCGGGGCAAGCGGTGCAGCCCTGCAGCCGCTGGCGGCGTGGCCTGGACCTTTCCACGGGCCTCTTCCTCCTCCTCTTCTTGCTCCTGCTCCTTGCGTGGTGCAGCCAAGACGCTGTGTTGAGGCCCACTTTGGCTTCGGTTCTCGCGCAGACGACAAAACAGCCGTAGACGCGCTAACGGCAATGTAGGCAACGGTGATGTAGGTTTCGGTATCGTAGGTGGGACCGGTTCGTGGCCAAACCAAGTGTAGGACATGGTGGTTCGTGTTTTCCCACGACTCGCTGCGTCGCTTTCCCTCGCTACATGCGCATATTTCGAGGTGTAGGAGAGTGTGGCTCGTGATTTCCTACAATTTGTTCTGCGCGAGCTCGGTGTCACTTCATTTCCCCGACATCGCCGTGAACCAACGTCGCCGTTGGCGCGGCCTTGGAACATGGGCAGTCGGGCTGCGGAAGAAGGAGCCCTTTCGTTGGGGAGGGGCTCCGTGCTCCTTAATGTTTTAGCAGTTTGTCTTAGGTTATCTCCCTAGGTCTTCTATGGAAAATCGAAGCTTAATGTATGGGAAAAGGGGACCTCGTTCCTTATTCAGAGCTCCGTCTGACAGCATTTCGACTGTACCGTCACCGGTACCCCTGCCTCGGTACCCCCCTTGCCACCGCTGGACATCGCAGCCAGGGAGAGATCCGGGGAGCAGCGGTACTGGTACCTATTGTCGGGGCAACGTAAGAGTGGAGTACGCTGGAACTCGGGCTTGCCGACGCTTTCTGACGAGCGCGTCCTCGTCCTGGATGGTGACGGTACAGTGTTCGTGGGGCGTCTGTAGCGTGAGTTCGCGCCGAATTGCAGGCTGGGCCTCGTCGTTTTCATGACGGCCACGTCAGGCCAGCCTCGCAGGCTTAGAGGTTGACACCGACACCAATATCGGCCATGTGCCTCCACTGAGGGAAGAAGATCCCGATCTCGGTGATGGTGGTAATATCTTGCCCCTGCAGAGCGAAGCTTGAGCGAGCTCAAGCACACGCTCTCAGAAACTCACACGCTGGATCGG